GTCCACAATCCAGTACTACTCAATAGATGTTATGGCATTTCTACTGGCAGTCGTTGTGCTAGTATTTACTGTTTTCATTTATGTAGTAAAGGTTCTTTGTCAGAAAGTTTTTTGCAGAAGTAAAGCAAAACTGGAATGATGCAAGTGTCCATTGACAACGTGTTTTCAAATGCAGATTGATATTTTCAACTGAGTACCAGTACCGTTCATATTTTCTGAAGTATGACAACAACTTCCTGATTACACAGCTACAAAGAGATTCTTCAAACCCTGTATGCAGTACATAAACATTTCTCATCTATTAACTACTGAAGAATGGAACCGTCCCACTTGTAACCTTGAGTGACATTTTAAAACCTGTGTACTTGTACATGTATCACCAAGTAAAAAAAGCACTCATAACAAAAGTCTAAAAAAGTTAAATCTCCTTTAAGCTCTAATAATATTCTTATATTAATGTTGACAGCACGTAAAAGCATTGTACTAACTTACTTTGTGATTTGTTCATATGTGGATGTGTAAATAAATCCCATAAAACCTAAAGAATTGTGTCCTTCAGTTTCTTAAATGTAATTTCAGGATTTCAGGGCCTTCAACTAGTTTGAGGAACGTAAGATTGATAAGCATAACTCAAGCTAAAGCTAACTTCTAGTGTTGTTTTGGTTTATGCTTAATTTAATTCAATTTAATTTAGTTTATTTATACAGCACCAAGTCACAACAGAAGTCATCTCAGGGCTTTATACAGATACATTCATTTGAACAGAGGATGTAGAGGGCAGAGTGAGATGGAGGAGGATGATGACTCACTGTGACAATCCCAGATGAGGGAAAAAGAAGAAAATGCAGAAAATATTTTATGCAATTTTAGTTAAATTTAAGGTTTTTAATATTTGACATATTTGCAAAATATTCAAATAGGTCTTTCACTTTACTGTGGGCTTAGAAAAATATTGGACGGTGTGGCTGTGTCTCTGTTTGAGAGCTGGGTGGCTCCAAGGTTTCAAAACATGAGAGTGGCAAAATGGCTCATTTATGTGCCATTTTTAACAGTCCATGTGGTAAATTAAGTGTGTGATGAATGTAAAGTAATATTGCTTTGTATTATAAGGTAAGGTTCATACAAGCAGAACATTCTGTTTACATAAGTACACATGTGTAGTGAACTAGACCTCCGGCATCAATCTGCCTCTGAGGACCTTCATGGGACAGAAACTGTTATTTCATTGATTTGAATCCAGAAATACACATTATCTCATCAAGAGACTATTTAATTGTATCCCGAATTAATCAATTGAAAGAACACTCTTCTTTTTTATATTATCATTACTATTTTACAATATCTTGATAATCAAAAGTGTGTTTAGTTCATACCATTTCTAATGTTGAAAGTAAACCACTCATTTAAATCAACTATGAAACAGTATTAATGATTTTTAACCCTCATTAGACTTGGATCATACAAGTTAAATGTCTATTTACGAAGTAAGTGTGCATTTACTCTTCTGTCTGTGTGAGGAGTGGACCTGATGTCGGCCAAAAGTCAGAAGACAAGTTATGAGAACGAAGTGCCTTGTTTTAAAACTCTCAGACAAGAACTGGCTGGCACCTGCTTTCTCTCACTTCTTCAAAATATTTCTCTGTCTGTACTAAACGTTCTTAAAACATTTCTGCTGTCTGCTGACTCCTAATAACTCTCTGACATCACTAAAACTACACCCCTGCTGGTTGTTTCAACCAATCAGGAAGTACCAAGTGACCGGAAGTGGATACCCTTTAAAAGTCAACACTTCTTGGAACTATTCAGTCTTCCCAGTCTTCTCAGTCTTCTTGGAACTTTCAGCCTTACTGGAAGACTCAGTCTTACTGGAGTCTTCCAGCTGAACTAAGTAGCTGATGGATTGGACCATGTGCCAAGGGTCCGTCCATTCCAGCGGAGTCACAGCTGCCTCGCTGTGACTCACCCCGAGCATTAAATGCTCTCAACTTCGAAGGAAGCTAATTCTATTGAATGGAGTATATGGAACTACTTCGGAAGATTCTCAGCCACCCTGACCGGAGACGCTGAAAAGGTAGCGTGCCAATGGACCTCTGTTCCGTAGTCGATGTATCCTCTGCTCAGGTAACAAGTCGTTCACGCCCTGAGTGTACCAGAGGGCTGAGCTGGGGTCGGAGGAAGGGTGCCATTTCTGGTCAACACATGTTCCTTCATCCATCTAAACCTCCTCTTTAAATCTTTAAACCTCTTTACTCCTTCTCTTTAAACTTCTATTCGCCAGTAAATCAAGTTAAGTGCCTTCAGAGATGAATCATTCTCCATCAGTAATCGTCTGTTGTCTTGTTTAGTAAATCTTGCTAAGTTTAAACCTCAGAAACAGATCAGCAAATCAAGTGTACATGTTTTGATGTTAAATTTTGATTCTGTTAAATAAATGACCGCATTTATTCTGATGGGTCAAAGATAAAATTATGTCTCATGTCACTAATTAAAACTCCACTCTCAAGTTATCTTGGTCACATGGAAGAAATTTAATATATATATATATATCTCGAAAAAGAAAGAATCCGTTGTTAATTAAACAATTAATATTCTTTGTGCTTGAACTAGCTTTAAGAATAATTAATTAGTAGTGAAGCTAACAGCTAGCTCACTACACATGTGTTTTGTCATTTCCTGGTTTTCTCTCTGGTTTCTTCTCACAGACCAAAAGATGTGTCAGAGTCAGAGTTTCTTTATTGTCATTCGCACCTCATGTGGTACATGTGGTGGAGCCAAATTATGTACACAGGGTCCCAGTTACATCCAACAATAAAATGTATAAGAAAAACAGTAACAACATCTAAGATATGAACTAAGAAAAACATCAACTAAATATACACTAAGCACTCATAACATAAAAACATTGAACATCAGCACAAACATGAACATACCATACCATACCAATTTATTTATATAGCACTTAAAACAGCAACAAGGCCAACCAAAGTGCTGTACAAAAGAACCAAACATGCACAGCAGACAGGAAAACATAAAATAGAAATACAGGTACAAATAGCAGCAGAAACTAACTAAAATGGCCAACAGAGTAGAGAACAGACCGGACCAAAACAAATCACACCGTGTTAAAGGCAAGAGAATAGAAGTGGGTCTTCAAGCGAGACTTAAAGACTGAGAGTGTGGGAGCCTGCCGGACACTCAGTGGCAACTCATTCCACAGTCGTGGACCTGCAACAGAGAAAGCCCTGTCACCTCTGAGCTTACGACGGGTTTCTGGGACTGAGAGAAGCATCTGGTCTGCTAACCTCAGAGAGCGCGGTGGGACATATGGCTGCAGAAGATCTGACATGAGTCTGTGTGAGCGGATGTGCACGCATGAACACATCAACGTTGAAACTGATCAGCAGCAACATGTGGTTTTTCCACAGTGATTATTCTAGTTAGAGATTCATGAGTCTAACAGCCTCAGGGTAGAAGCTGTTCCTCAGTCCAGTGGTTCTACACTTAATGCTCCTCAACCTCCTTCCTGAGGGGAGTGGGGCAAAAAGTGTGTGTGCTGGGTGAGTGAGGTCCTTCATGATGCAGGTAGCCCTCTTCATGCATCTAGAGGTGTAGATGTCTGTGATGGTGAGGAGGCTGACAACGAGGTGCCGTTAGGGTGTTAGGTTAATGATGAATTTAACTCATCACTAGGTCTGAATGAGTTGGTTGTTTGTGTTGTATGTCTCTATGTGTCCCTGTGATGGACTTGCAACCTGTTTAGGGCATCAGTTTAGGCACAGGATGCTCTCCACTGCACACCAGTAGAAGGAGCTGAGGACTGAGCTTCCCAGACCAGCTCGACTCAGCCGCCTGAAGAAGCAGAGGCTCTGTATCCATGTATCCATATATGACTGTCTTCTTTAAACGTTCATATTTCAATTATTTTCTAAAGTTTTCTGAATTATTACAGTTGTGTGTTCACTGGTCATATCTTTTTAGGTAAATGTGATATTAATGTATATTTTTGAAGACAATGACAGTAACACAAGTTGTGCTGCCTGTGTATACAGGCACTCTGTTTTGTGCAGTGGCAGGATGTGCATTTTACACCTAGGACTTCAAAAGGTGTTTGCTTTAATTTATCCGCCTCTTAATACATTGTTGTGATGCCACGATTTCAGAAACTATCAATAAATACACAGAAACGTGGTATAATATGGCGCTGTATCACAGACAGGTATCTCATGTTGCGAGAATGAAAGCCATTACTAAAGCAAGAAACACAATTTAAATTCAACAAGTTTCCTTCAACTGCAGTCACAGATGCAACCCATATATATTTAGACACACGTGGGTGTTTTGATGTCACATCACTGCTCAAGAGAGCAACAGTTGGTTAAAAAAAAAAAACTTTAAAAGATGTGATGCACGTAAATAGAGACAAAACAGCAACGCAACGCTGGGCATTAATTTAGAAAAGATAATCTGAACATTGGTATTTACTATAAACAATGATCAGAGCATTGGCTTTTTGATTTGATTTTTCATTTAACCTTTATTTAGACAGGTAAATCTGATTTCAACAAAGAATGATGACAACAATGGACAACAGCAACAACAATAAACAGTTATAAAAAGGCATACAGATTTTTTTTTTTAATTTAACAAATACGATGGCTAAAAAAAGAAAACTAATATAAAAACAGCTAGATTTTAAGGAGAATGTGGAAAACTAAAAACAGGAACACGCCTGCATTGGTCCTTGCCTGGAGTTCAACTTCGAGATTCTCTGTATCCATGTATACATATATGACTGTCTTCTTTAAACATTCATATTTTAATTCTTTTCTGCTTGTTTGTCTTGTATGTCTCTATGCAATTTGGTTGGAAAAAGTAAATAAAACATTTCCTGAAAAGACAGGGGTGGTCAAATCAGTTAAAAACTAAACAAAGACTCTAACCTCCTTCTACAGGTGTAGTGGAGAGCATCCTGTGCTCCAGCATCAACA